TACCAGGTAATTTTACAGAGCCTTGCCTCCCGAAAGGTATTTTCATCCTACCTGGACCTCTCTGACCCAAATTTGGCTGTTTAGGGTAAAGTTGCATGGAGCCTGAATGTGATGATGATAATTGCGATTAAGATTATGCCGTGTTGATGATTGGCAGCTTTTGATTTTGACTTGTTTTGTTGCCAGGATCTGAGTAGGCCGAACCCTGTCCAATTGTTGGGCACTATCCATCCCAGAATGGTTCAGCAGCACAGCCTTGAAGAGTTCAAGCCGAGTCCGGCAACTCCTCAAATCAGCCGCAAGCTAAACGCGGATTCATCAGGTTCGCATTACGAAAAGCCGAAGGCCGCATCACACATTCAAACAGTTTTACCTCACAAGCAATCCAGCCTTGTTCAACCTTCGAAATAAAAAAGTCGAACATTATTACCTGCACTTGCAGATGGCCACTCAAGGTCGAGGACTGGTCGAAAGCAGACAAGAGATACGTACGGGGGCGTGTGTCTGTGCGAAGGTGGAAACTCTCACTTTTGGCTAACTCTACAGAGGCAGATCCATCTTTGCAAACTGTCTCATCTTCATTGTTTGGAATGATGACTTGGAGCTTAAGTGAAATCAAAATTTTCCTGTTAATGTGCTCTTTTCGAAGGTGGGATTAGGTAGTCAAAAAATAAGAATTATTTCCTTCTTAATCTACTTTTAATTGAGTTTCATCCATCATTTGAGAGAATTGGCTTCTTCTTGTTTCAGATTTTCCTCACACAACCCTATTTTTTAGAAGTTGTACTTTTATCAGACACTGTACTACTCATGTGATAATGCATACCAGTAGTATATCTTCATCTGGATGATTCGAACTCGTGGCTCATTTCGTCTTTTTAGAATTAAAACTATTTTTCTTTAAATTATTTTTATCCTTATCTTCTACTTCAAGTCTTGCTATTTACCAGTTGTCCTTTCCTCCTCGTATCCTATTTCTTGTAGAATGATGACTTGGAATTTAAATTAAATCACACTTTTCCTGTTGTGGCACCTATTTTCGAAATAAGTATTAGTCAGATCTTCACTTGCTTCTCTGCGTTTGGATTCACGAAAATAAGAATTTTATCCTTTTTAATCTCCTTTTCGTCTAGTTTCCTCTATCAATAAGGAGAATTGGCAGCAACATCTCCTCTTCCTTAAAGTTCTTTTATTCACCTTCCGTACTACTTAGTGGATAATGCATGCAAGTAGTTTCTCTTCACTTGGATGATTATAACTTCTGGATCTTCTTTCCTACTCAGAATTTAGATCAGCATCCTTTAATCAACTCCTCTATTTGTCTGCTACTTTGAAGTCCCACTATTTGCTAGATGACCTATTCTCAGCGAGTCCTACAACTTGTGGAATAGAGACTTTGACTTTAAATGAAATCACAACCTTTCTGTTGAGGCAACCTTTTATAAGGAAGGATTGAAGATTCACGTGAATAAAAATGTTCTCTTTCTTAGCCTGATTTTTGTTAAATTTTCTCTCTTACTTGAGAGAGTTGACTTATTCTTCGTTCATCTTCTCCTTACGCAACCACATTTTCTAAAAGTTCTGCCATTAATATTCTTAATTACTCATGGAATGATGCCTGCAATTAATAACTTTTCATTAAAATAATTCAAACTTATAGCTCATCTCGAATATCCAGAGCTTAGACGATTATTCTTTAATTAGCTCCTTTTCTTCTGTGCTGCTTTGAAGTCTTGCTAATTGATAGTTGACATTTCTACATTGGGCCTTATTTCATGAGATTTACCCTCTTGTCAGTCTTCTGCCTGTACATGGGTTGTTTACGATTACCTTGGTCGACTCCATTTGGCAATTATCCCGTCTCTCTTCTTCGGCTCTTGAGGGTTGTTCACCTTAGATGACCGCCCGGTCAGCCGGATAGCAACAAGTAAGCCAAGCCCTTCCCGCCATTTCAGGACACCCATAAGTGGTGCTGTGCAAGACTGAGGCTCATCCAGGTGCTGGCCTAGACAGAGACCCACCATGAAACCGCTCCACTTTCCTCCAACCTTCCCTTCTAACCTGATTGTGCACGTGGAAACGAGTAGAATTGATGAGGGAACCAAAGTAGCTCGGTAAACTTGACCCGCCAGCACTGATGCAGGTGACTTTGTGGTCGACCGGAGGGAGGCGAACGAAAAACTGAATTAGAGCACTAGAGGTAGACAATGAGATGGTCTGGGAAGAGGTTCACTCGAGTAAAGAAGAACCACGAGCTCTTATGTGCGCATCTTAGATTTAATGAGTGAAAAATTTCTCTTTTCTGTGGTTATTTTGGGTGTTGGTGCTCTCAAATTTCGACTTTATGAAGGCATGCAACTGTCTCTGGACTGCATTGTACCGCGAAAAGTTCTGAAATCTCTTGGCATCGACACTTCTCTAGTGAGCAGTCTACATGCAACTTACACCGAATGACCATATGCCTAAAAGTGGGCTTACTTGTGTTGGCCGGCGAACTGATGCTGACCACGCTGATGATCCTCATCATCGTTTCTGCAAATTATGGCATGTCTCTCGGTTTGCTTGCATGCCCAGTATATGCGTGCAAATGGCCAAGTATGCACTCACATTTATGTTTTTGTGTACAAATGCCTAATGACCTAATGCATACACGCGCACGCACATACAATTATGTACATTCACTTGCTGTAACGGTGCGTATGCATGAGAGAGTATTGAAGATATGT